CCCCAAAACCCCAAAACCCCAAAACCCCTTAAAAGCTATGATTATTGATAAATTAAGATATTATAAAATATTTAAATTAAACCTAATGTCTTCAGAAAATGAAAATAAGGAAAGACCTAGCTCTGCAAAGGATATGAAGGAGCCTTTGAAGGTCAAAAAGATAGCAAATTTCAATAAAATCATTTCACAAGGCTCATTTAGAAATAAAAGTGAGTTCTAACTTATTTTTTAGCTAGTTTAACTTTGAAATAATAGTTTCAAATTAATAGCAAAAATTAATTTTAAAATTAGATATTAATTCAGCAAGATCTACTCCAAGCAACAGAATTCATGTAATCAAATCCAATTCAGATGAGGAGCAATCTGCATTAAATTCTCGATCAAAATCGCCCCAAAACTTCCAGTTTGAGGGGATGGTAACAATAGGTCCTAAATCTCTAGGGTAAAAAGGAAATGCAAGCTCTAAATTGGTTCACATTTGAAACAAGAATGAGAGAAATCTTCACAAGAGAATTCAAAGAGCCTATTCAAGAAAACTGCCAAGCTGAGATAGATCAACTTAAATAAAAAGCAATCCTCTTCATAATTCTGTAGGATAAACAGGCATATCAAAGGAAAAAGAAAGATGACATATTACGATGAATACTACTCCAGAAGAAGCTCAGGTGTAAGCACAAGAATAATCCTTAAATTCTTAAACTCTCTAGCCTGAATATGTCAGAGATGAAGGTGTACCGTACCGACAAGCCCCAACCACTGAAGATCTTCTCTTCAGGTTTAAATAAAATGCAAGAGTTGTTCAACAAATTAGAAGATAACTATAAGTAAGTCTCTGCTTAAACCTCCTCTAAATGATAAAATAATCCCATGAATTTTATGAATTGATCCTCTATGTTGTACAGAGGTTCATATGAAGCACTAAAACATTAATACATCTGAAAGAATATCTATATTTTATATATCCCTCACCTTATTAGAAGCAACATTTTGAGAGTTTTTAGCTGCTAACTCTCTATATAGTAGCTCAATTGCAGAAATTAGTGGAGAAGTAGAGACCTTGAGAGACAAAATGAAAAACTACGATGAAGAAGTATCAATATGGAAGAGGATTGAATCCAAGTCAAGCAATATCTTAGAGAATAGTAACTCCTTTTAATATCTATAGAGGCTGTAAATCTTCTCAAAATTCAACTTATTGATGAGATTCAGTCCTCATTTACAGATCTCACTCAGAAGAATACTGAGTTACAGGAGAAGATGAATCAGGTTGAAATCAAATGAAATACTAACAAAATCATAATCGACGAGCATAAATAAGGAGTTCAATGAGACTCTATTTGATGTTGATAAATTCAAGGTACAGATTGAAGACATAGAGAAACAAGTCCATAGTATAAAACAGCTCATTTCTAGGCCAATCTGAAACATTTTATGACAAAGAGTCTTTCAAAACCTTCAAAATTAAAATAGAAAGGGATATCAAATAACCTTAAATTAAAAACCGGCCTTAAACAAAGGAACAACTTTGGAAGCTTTGCTAAGGAATCCGACAGTAAGGGTTAAATAAGCATTATTAGAGTCGTCTGATCATAAAGGAGAAAAGAAGCCTACTCGTCTCACAAGTTTTGTTCAGAGTCCAAGAGCAGGAAGAAAGAGATTCTTTGAGATCCCTAAGCATGGTGACAAATAAACCTGAGAAATCTTCTAACTTTAAGACTATCCACAATAGTCCTAATAAATTAGAAGGGAAAGGAATAAACAAAAGTTTATCGAATGTAGTCAAGCCGATTGCTTCGGAAAGTCTGAGCTTGTCTTCAAATAAACTCAGAGTGAGCACTCTCAGTGAAAAGAAGGAAGATTTAGATATTTTCGTAAAAGTCTCTGAAACATTCGCAAAGGTTTTAACAAGAAGAGAAGATCTGATAAATTTTCATGCTCAATTTTCGAGTACTATAGATAAATACAAAATCTCTCATGGGATTTTTAAAACTCCTCAACTTATGTCAGATGAAGAGAGGGAAAGATATCATGAGTTTGTTAGGATGGAAGATATTAAGAAAGAAATTCAAGAGAAAATTAATTTTAAAGGGTCTAAAATAGCTCCTATTGGATCTCCATCTTCCAAGAATTTAGCCACAATTAAAGAAGATATTCAAATGAAAAGGTAAAGTGTTCACGAATTTTTAGGACAAAATATAAATTTGATGATCAACATCTGAAGAAACGATCTGACAACAAATCTGATTTTTCTATGATTAGCTCACCTCAAAGTATTACAACTCCATAAGCTTTAGATAGCCCAGAGAAATTATTAGGGTATAATAAGCCCACACTTGCTATCAAAAAGATTCCAACTCCTCAAAAACTTAAGGAGCAATATAGGTAGCTTTAGACATTACATTGATCTAGAAGACAAAAATTTAATTCAGTTTATGAAAAGAGTACTTTATAAGACAATTTTAGAGAGCAACAGCTCATCCATTAGCAGCGAGAGTAGTCGTGGCATCCCTCCAGGTACTCTACTTCTTAACATTCAGGAGATAAACCCAAACCTTATAAAATGAACCAAAGTAAAAGCATAGAGAAAAAGAAGAGCAGTTCAAAATTACTGAAGCGAAACAAGGTCAATTTAGTTAGAAGAAACACAACCTTCTTCAAGCCTCAATTTGAGTAAGTACTGTTCTAAATTCAGCCATATTACTAACCTCTCAATTGGGGAAGACTCAAACAAGTCAGGGGTACCTCAGGCTCTCCTAGTTGGGCTTGATGATCTAGATGAAGAGTTCCACGAGCGTATGGATATCCAAGAGGCTAAACTTAAGAACATTGAAATAATGAATAAGAAAATAGACACAAGAATATCCACAATAGAAATAGAGCTTACAAGGAAATTGATGTCGACACTTAGTGATGCCAATACAATCAAGGAGGAAGTAGACCATAGTATAAAGATGATGAAGAGAGATAGAAATCAAGTCATCCATGTTGGGAAATCTTTGGAGGGTCATATCCAGAAAACATTATCTGAAATAGAAAATTTCAGAATATATTACAAAAAATTGGATAATAAGATAGACTTGATCATTAAAGGTAGGTTATGAAGGAAAATCAAGATATAGATCTTGAGATACAAACTCTTCTTGATACTCAAGATGAAATTGATCGCCACTCTATCTCACTAATGGGAGTTTTTGAGAATACCACAAGATCTAATGAGATTCCCTCACATAAACCTATAGAAATCTCAAAGAACTGAATCTCATGCTCATCTTATAAGTCATTTGCCTTGAAATCTTTCAAATTAGCTTGTCTTTCTTACACTCCTTCAACCATTGGTTATATGTCTAAAGAACTCACTCGGATCCAGATGCACAAGCTACGCTCAGAAAACCTTCAAAAATTAGGAATAAAAATGAAATTTCCTGATAAAGTATGTTGTTCACCATCTGAATCATGTGCTAATTTAAGATATCTTAATTTGAACTTCACACTTAACAAACTAATAAATTTTAGGAGAGAATTTCCACTCTAATCGAACCTCATCTTTCAAAGCTAGAATTCAATAGCCCTGTTCAAAACACAAGGAATCTAAAATTTAATTACAAGAAGAGAAATCTGCACTCTAGTATGGCAAAGAAATAGCCAGGATGGTCAAGGTACTACAAACCCTTGTTACTTTACCTTCAAAAGGCACTGTAAATATTTTTCTAGACTCAAGTATCAGCTTTAAATTCAACAACACGATCATTGACTCGAAAGTAACTTCTTCGTTAATCCATAGGTGAACAATTCTTTTATGGGGAAAACCTCTAGTCTAACAAAGAAGGAGAAAGTAAATATCTCGAGAACAACGATGAGAAATTTTAGAAGAGCAATAAATGTAAGGAATAGCAGCAGGATGTCATATTAGCCATATAAATTTAAGCCTAGAGATAATCCGCCTTAATTATCAATAATGAATAGAAATATAGGGGTTTTGGGGTTTTGGGGTTTTGGGG